AACAATTCCTTTCTCACAACGAGAGATCAGAAGAAGCAACCAACGCGTTTCAGAGGACCAAAACTTCAGCCTCGTTCATAAGTGGTAGTGGTGGTGGTGGTGGTGGTGGTGACAACAGGCGGCTGATCCACATTTTTACCGGCGTCCTGGTGACCCAAATCATCACAATCATTAATTGGCGACATACAGGCCCTGATGAAGGGGGAGCTTTGATCTGAAACGCGTTGGTTGATCTCTTCTAATCTCTCGTCACAGGAAATAAAACTTTATCAGCTCCCCCCCCAGATCAGCAACGCTCTCATCCTTCATACAATCTCCATACAGGGGGACCCCGAGGGACACCCCCGGTGACAAGGAGTTTCTTGGTCTGATTGGGTCTATTTCTGAGTCCAGATGTGATCTGTCGCTACGGGCAACAAGAACGGTTCTCAGTCAGCCACTTAGGACCCCGGTGGTCACATGACCGCTCTCCATGTCCAATACAAACGTAAAATCCGTGTGACGGGGTGAAGAAAATCCGGAATCCATAGAGAATGGGGTGACCCCTCCCAACAGGTGGCCCTCCTCAAGTACACCCCAATGACCCCCCTCTCATGCATCTACACAGGTGACCCCTGCCCTCAATGTTGACCTTTAACCTCTCATCACCCAGAAATCCCCTGTGGTTACCTATGGGCACCCCCTTACACCCCTCTATGGGTACCATGGTTATAACCAGTTATCTAGAGGGGCCCTCACACCTTTTTTTCGCTCACCTAGGGACCACTCATACCTCTCTGCACTCACCCAGGGGCCCCTCTTCCGTCCCCCGCAGTGTCAGGCTATGCCTCCCACTCTCCCCCCCCGCTTGTCCCCGGTACCGACAGAAAGTCACCTCAATAACAGCGCCGCCATCTTTCTTCTTTGCCGATGACGTCACCCGTCAGGTGACATTCCACTTTTCCTCCGCCCCCTCTGTTTTCACTTGACGGGGCTGTGGAGAGGGGCGTGGCCAATGCTGGCTCACTGCTAGACGCAGACCGAGTGGACAGCAGGGGGCGTGTACCTCAAAGGGAATCACTGTACAGCCACGTGACTAGCGTGAGGCTCCTCCCCTCCACATTAAATAACGTATTATTAAAGGAGAACTCCAGACTTTGTATTGTGTTCTGCTCGGATGAGTCTTCATCGAGCACTGAAATCAGAGTTTTCGGTCATTTGCAGCCCCTCTGCGTGAGAAATGTATATAAAGAGAACCTGTCATGGCGCAGGTCAGGTTCCCCTTCACAGTGTGATCTATCCTGAGAGTCATTGGGGGATCTCTGCTTATACAGGTTCTCTTCACCCGTTATATTAATGACCCCCATTATCCGACAACTTCCTGTCAGCTGAGGGTGACATGGCCCCTCCCCTTGGGGGCGTGTCACTGCGTCAGCCTGAGCTCAGCTCATAGGAGTATGATGCACTCAGACGTCATACACCGCCCACTACCTCCGTGAGGTCCGCCCACCACCTGAGGGTAAGGATCCTGCGTGTAATGTGACCACACACCTGGACCTTCAATGGAGATGGGCGGTCCTTTCTCATGGGCGGGGCCTTGTCTAAATTATAGCGTTCTGTGAGCCCAGGCTGCATGATGACGTCCACCCAGAGGGCGTGTCCATGACCTCCTGAGCACACAGGAAGTGAGTTGGATGATGCTGGGGGTCAGAGACTGGGAGGGGGAAGTCTTCAGGGAACAGCTCAGGTGATAAGATACACTCAGATTGTACTGTGTATGGCGGTCCTTTGGATCTCTCGGTTCTGCCTGGTTGCAATAGCGACGTATTAACCCCTGCTGTGCCGACCACGGTGTATGTGTCATGGAGAGATCGGGTCAGCCTGGCTCTGCAGTTTATTTCCTTGTCAGTTTTTTCCTCTCACCCCGGGAACAATCGTCCGTCATTGTACAGCCCTCTCCTCGTCTTCTCTCCCCTCCCTCACCCTGGGCACCCACAGCCCCGGCTCTCTGCCTTCTGATTGGTTGGAAGTTCCACAGAACTCTCTGAGCCCCGCCCCTTGGGGTTTTTAAACCAGATTCCCCCCTCCATCCCGTATTCCATCTCCGGAGGAATCTGAGGGTGACTGGGGCTTCGAGCGTCCCCCAAATATTCGGGGATCACACCGTACCAGACGAGCGATGGAAACCCCCAGGAACCTGCTGGCTCTGGCCGCCGTCTTCGCTCTCAGTAAGTTCCGATGTCGCCGCGACGCTTCTACCGATTGCTCGGATGTGATTGGGGTGGCCGGGTGACCGTTGTCTGTCCGGAGTATGACCGGCAAAGGATTCTGGGTGATGAGACCCTATATCATATTATTACAGCCAGCTGTGCCAGAACTACAAGTCCCATCATGCTTCTGCCTCTGGGAGTCATGCCTGTGGCTGGCAGAGTCTTGCAATGCCTCATGGGACTTGTAGTTCCACAACAGCTGGAGGTCCCCCTCCTGAGTATTATCATTTATTCAGCCGAGACCCGGAGGAGGAATTCTGACTGAGGTGCTGGTGCCGGGGCAGAGACTCAACGTCCTCCAGCCGGAGGTCAGAGTTACAGACCCGAATTATCCAGAGGAGGGGGAGGGGGGTCCCCGAGATTATTTCATCATCTCCGAATCCGGGTCCCCACCGGCTCATCGGTTTTATTATTTACAGATAATTCACATTGTGTCACATTTTTTATTTTATATTTAGCATTGTTATAATATTTATTATACGATATAAATATTGTATATGATATAATAATTTTTATAACAGAAATGTATCATTT